AAGAGGGGAGGGGGAGGCTTGGGACCCTGGCAAGAGGGGAGGGGGAGGCTTGGGACCCTGGCACTAATGGACACCGCAGCTCTTGCCTGCCACGTTCCTTGTTTTTATTTTGCTTTGGGATCAGGTCTTGCTCTGTTGCCCAGGCTGGAGTGCCGTGGCGTGATCATAGCTCCCTCTCTGCATGTTGTCAGGGACCAGAGGGGAGGAAGGGGTCCGTGAACCCTAAGGAGCAGGTAGCGTGGGGGTGGACTGGCTGGGAGGGAAGAAGGACATCTTTCTGATTCCTTCTTTCTTTCTTTCTTTCTTTTTTTTTTTTTGAGACAGAGTCTTGCTCTGTCGCTTGGGTTGGAGTGCAGTGATGCGATCTCGGGTCACCCCAACCCCTGCCTCCTGGGTTCAAGTGATTCTCCTGCCTCAGTTCACTGAGTAGCTGGGATTACCGGCACGCGTCACCATGCCCAGCTAATTTTTACAGTTGTAGTAGAGACGCTGGTGGAATCACTGGAGCCCATGTTGGCCAGGCTGGTCTTGACTCCTGATCTCAGGGGATCGGCCCGCCTCAGCCTCCCAAAGTGCTGGGATTAGAGGTGTGAACCGCTGTGCCCATTTTTTTTCTTTTTTTTTTTTTTTTTTTTTTTTTTAATGACAGGGTCTCACTTTGCTGCCCAGGCTGGAGTACAGTGGCACAATCTCAGCTCATTGCAGCCTCCGTCTCCTGGGCTCAAGTGATCCTCTGGCCTCAGCCTCCCACCAAGCCCTGCTAATTTTTGCATTTTTGGTAGAGATGAGGTTTCGCCTTGTCACCCAGGCTGGTCTCAAACTCCTGACCTCAAGTGATCCACCCGCCTTGGCCTACTAGGGTGCTGGGATTGCAGGCGTGAGCCGCTGCGCCTGGCGGAGAGGGACATCTTGAGCAAGGGTGTGGCAAGGCTGGGAAAGAAAGACTCTGTCTCCATCTGTGTCTGTCTGTCTCTCTCCTCTCTCTCTCTCACACACACACACACACACACACACACACACACACACACACGCACCCCGCACGTACTCACTGATTTCTGAACAACGCTCACCTCCAAGGCCCCCAACACCTGGGACGACTCCAAGCCCTCCAACTCCGAGTCCTCCAGCACCAAGCCCAGCAGCTCCCGGCAGGCCTGTGGAGAGAGCTGAGCATTAGACTCCACTGGACAGAAAGTGGGGACTGAAGCTCAGCCTGTGGAGGGTGGAGGTGTCCTCTGGGGACCCAGGTGGAGCCTGAGCTCTCCCGGCCTTCTATGGGGCCAGGAGGTGCCTGGGGCAGGGAGTCTGAGTCTATAGTGCCTGGTCGGCAGCTACTCCCACATCCTGGGGACCTTGGAGGGGGCCGGGGGAAGCTCCACCCCCACCCAGCACTCACCAAACTGGGCAGCTTTGGCAGCGGCTTTGGCTGCAGCCGCAGCGGCAGCGGGTCCAGCTCCTGGGGACACAGATCAGGTTCAGGGAGGGACTCTGTCCAGGTTAGCCTCCCTCCCCACCCAGCCCGTCCCGGCGTTTCAACTCACCCACCACACCACCGAGAGCCCCGACCCCTCCAAGGGCCCCGGGCACTCCTGCTCCTGTGGGGAAGGAGGAAAGATGAGTCCCCCATTTCTGAAGGATGGGGTGTCCCTGCCCCAGGGACACAGGGCAAGCAGACAGGTGACAGGGCCATGCGACACAGTGGAGGAGCTCTGGACAGAAGTCCAGTCCTTGTTTTGGTTTCGTTTGGGGATGGGGTCTTGCTCTGTCGCCCAAGCGGGAGTGCAGTGGTACTCAGCTCACTGCAGCCTCCCACTCCTGGGCTCACTCGATCCTCCCGCCTTAGCCTCCCAAAGGACTGTGCTTGGACTTAAAAGTTCTTTTGAAGGCCGAGTGTGGTGGCTCATGCCTGTAATCCCAGCACTTTGAGAGGCCGAGGCCAGTGGATCACCTGAGGTCGGGAGTTCGAGACCAGGCTGATCAACATGATGAAAACCTCGTCTCTACTAAAAAATACAAAAATTAGCTGGGCAGGGTGGTGGGAGCCTGTAATCCCAGCTTGAAGGCCAAGGCTGGAGAATCGCATGAACCCAGGAGGTGGAGGCTGCAGTGAGCCAAGATCGAAGCACTGCACTCCAGCCTGGGCAACAGAGAGCAAGACTCCAGCAAAAAAAAAAAAAAAAAAAAAGCAGCGGCAGTATCTACAGCAGGCACTTAAGGTTCTGAGTGCTTCACACTTAGCAGCCCATTTTTTATGCACTGCAGCAAGAAAGGCAGGTGCTCTTGTCATTCCCATTTTACAGATGAGAACGCCGAGGCAGAGCAGAGGTTAAGCAATGCGCTCAGGGCTTCCAGGCTGGGAAGTGGCTCTGCTCACCACATGACACCCCTCTGTTTCCCTGGCAATGTCTGTTGACTCAGCCCGGCCAAGCAGTCAGCAGTGAAGAGGGGAGGAGGCCGGGGCCGCTGGGGGTCCGGGCTGAGGAAGCCGGGATTTTCCGAGGTGGAAACTGGCCCCAAGTGGACCTGCCCGGCCGGTTGGTGGATCGCTGGTGGAGTCCCCTGCCTCCCCCCAACTCTGCTCACAGGAGGCCAGGAATGCAGAGGCCACAGACAGCGTGGGTCTGGCCAGGCAGGGCTGCCAGAGTGCCAAGTGCAGAGGCTGTGGGACTGCCACGTCCTCTGGGCTGGTTTACGGCAGGAGCAGTCTTGCTGGCAGGATGGGAAGGTGGGCGGGGGCCAGGGATGCCCAGATGAGGAACAGCGGCTCCTCTGCTAGGGCCAGAGAGCTGGGGTGGAGTCAGAGACTGCCCGGCCTCCTCATACCCACAGCGGGCCCGGCCCCTCCCTGGCCCGGGGATCACGAAACTGTCAGAGTCTGAGGGGCCTTAGGGCCGCTGGAATCGCCTCCTGGGGAGCAACTGGGATTTTGAGGGTGGTTTTGGTGGTCACAGGAGTTGAAGGCACCACAGACATTTAGTGGGCAGGGGCCAGGTTTTTAAACTGTCATACATGTGTCCTAGGACCTGCCTTTTTCTTTTCTCCCTCTCTCTCTTTCCTTTCTGTCTTCCCTCCCTTCCTCCCTCCTTTTCTTCCTTTTCTTTCCTTCCTTTCTTCCCTTCCTCCCTCCCTCTCCCTTTTGCTCCCTCCCTCCCTCCCTTCCTTCCTTCCTCTCTCTCTCTGTTTCTTTCATCTCGCTCTGTTGTCCAGGCTGGAGTGCAGTGGCATGGTCTTGGCTCACTGCAGCCTCCATCTCCTGGGTCCAAGTGATTCTCCTGCCTCAGCCTCCCAAGCAGCTGGAATTACAGGTGCCCACCACCACGTCTGGCTGATTTTTGTATTTTTAGCAGAGACGGGTTTTCACCATGTTGGCCAGGCTGGTCTCGAACTCCTGGCCTCAAGTGATCTCCCTGCCTCAGCCTCCCAAAGTGCTGGGATGGCAGCCACTGTGCCCGGCCTGAAACTGCCTTTTTCTATCATGTCAACCCCTGTCCTGTGCTGTCGGAGATGGCGGGGTGGCAAGGGAACCACAAGAGGTTGTGGGGTGCACTCACCATATTTGGCTGCTTTAGCAGCGGCCAGGGGTCCAGGTACTGGGGAGAAAGAAAAGTAGGGGGCTGGTCAGCAGCCGAGCTCTGTGCCTGGGAGTTCTGCCGCTTCCTCTAGGGAGCCCTCTCTGATTTCCTTGGCCTCCATTGCTTTCTCAAATCCCTGAAGCTGTGCAGGCACAGAGCTCTAGGGTGGGACGGTGCCTCCGCCTTCCATCTGCTCCCTCCTTCTCTCCCCAGGCCCAGCATGGCCTGCTTGAGGCTGGGCACAGAGCGGTGCTCAGTAACCACCTGGTGAAGAACTGGAATTCCTAGTGGCCCCCTGGCCACAGACCACTGCTGAAGGGGAGCCAGGCTCATCTACCTGCTCCTTCCCTGGGTGGAGGGCAGGCTGTTTCTCAGTCTGGAACCCCATCACCCCTCTACTGAAGAGGCAGATACTCTGCAATTTGGCAGCCTGGGGTCCCTTTGCCTGGTCTTCCCTCCTTCTGCCTTCTGTTACCCCCAGATGCTTAGGAGAACCTAATGAGGAATTTACTATGCACCCCGGGGTGGTGAGGGGGTGCTGGGGAGGTGCTGGGAGGAGGAGGGATTGCCTTCCCTGAGCTCAGGGGGCAGGCTCTGCCTAGTCCCTAGAAGTCCCTCACCCTCACCTGCCCCGAAGCCAGGCACACCAGCACCAACTCCAAGTCCAGGCACACCAGCACCAACTCCAAATCCAGGGACGCCAACACCAAGCCCAGCTGCAGCTCCTGCAGACAGAGGGCAGTGGTGGTGACAGCAGGCAGGGAGCGCGTCCCTAGGGAGGTGTCCTGTCCATGGAGCTGCTCCCAGTCCCAAAGGAAGGGGCCCACCCAGATCCAAGCAGCGGCTTCCTCCCTGGCCCTCTCTTCAGACTTGGCCTGCTTAATCCATCCTCTATGGAGCCGCTGGCTGGTTTTTCTTTGCTCTCTCTCTCTCTCTCTCTTTTGAGACAGGGTCTTGCTCTGCTGCACAGGCTGGAGTGCAGTGGCACAATCGTGACTCACTGAAGCCTCAAACTCCCAGGCTCAAGCAATCCTCCCTCAGCCTCCCGAGTAGCTGACGCACACTACGGGTGTGTGCCACCATGCCTGGCTAATTTTATTATTATGATTTATGAGATGGAGTTTCGCTCTTGTTGCCCAGGCTGGACTGCAATGGCGCGATCTTGGCTCACCACAACCTCTGCCTCCTGGGTTTAAGTGATTCTCGTGCCTCAGCCTCCCGAGTAGGCTACCACGCCCAGCTACTTTTGTATTTTTAGTAGAGACGGGGTTTCTCCATGTTGGTCAGGCTGCTCTCGAACTCCCGACCTCAGGCGATCCGCCCGCCTCAGCCTCCCAAAGTGCTGGGATTACAGGTGTGGCCACATGCCCAGCCTGGGATTGGATTTTGTAAAACTCTCACTGACCCTCTAGTCGTGCTGGCTGGCATTTGGGACCACACCCTGTGGGTGCCACTTCCCTTTCCAGCCTGATCCCCTGTTCTTCTCTCTTGGTTGATGTTGTTTAATTCTCCTAAAAGCCTTCTGTGGAAGGTGCTGTCTGTACCCACACTTAACACGCAAGGACACAGTCACTCAGAGGTCCCTTAGCTAGTGTGGAGCCCAGGACTTGAACCCAGGTCCTCCTCAAGCCAAATCTGCGCTTCTGACTCCTCTGCCCACTGCCCTGGGGATCTAAGGAGGCTGCAGGGCCCTGCCCTGGGTCCCATTCGGGCTTGGGAGCTGGGTTCCCAAGGACAGAGGGCAGTGGTGGTGATAGAAGGCAGGGAGCATGCCCCAAGGAGGGGTCCTGTCCAGGGAGCTGAGCCCAGTCCCAAAGGAAGGCGCCCAGATCCAAGCAGTGGCCTCCTCCCTGGCCCTTGCCCCTAACCAGCCTTGGGCTCCTTGGGGAGAGGAGAGAAAGGTGGGCGAGGCACTCACGGAGCTGGGCTTTGGCAGCTGCCTTGGCAGCAGATTTTGCTGCAGCTGGGGCTCCTGCACCTGGAGGGAGAGAGAGGGGATTAGAGATGGAGATGGGGCCCAAGGAGGCTTCAGGGGCCCCTCAGGGTCATGGACTCATGCAGCTCACCTATAACTCCACCAGGGCCGATGCCCACACCAGGTACCACGCCCACTCCGGGAGCCACGCCCACTCCGGGAGCCACACCCACTCCGGGAGCCACACCCACTCCGGGAGCCACGCCCACTCCGGGAGCCACGCCCACTCCTGGAGCCACACCAGGAACTACGCCAGCACCAGGAACTAAGCCTGTAAGATGGAGAAGAGCCTGATGCAAGAGAGCAGAGCTGATGAAAAGAGCTGGAGCCTCGGCCTGGCGGAGACTTGCTGTGTGACCCTGATCAGTTACTTTCGCTTGCTGGGCCTCAGCTTCCTCACCCCTAAGATGAAGCCTGTGCAGGTTCAGGAGTTCCTTTTTTGGAGACGGGATCTCACTGTCGCCCAGGCTGGAGTGCAGTGGTACAATCTCAGCTCACTGCAACCACCACCTCCCGCGTTCAAGTGATTCTCCTGCCTCAGCCTCCCAAATAGCTGGGACTACAGGTGCTCACTATCACACCTGGCTAATTTTTTTGTATTTTTAGTAGAGATAGGGCTTTGCCATGTTGGTCATGCTGGTCTTGAACTCCTAACCTTGGGTGATCCACCTGCCTTGGCCTCCCAAACTGCTGGGATTAGAGGCGTGAGCCACTGCACCCAGCCAGGAGTTCTTAATCTTTTCAGTGACAAGGACTCCTTGGAGATTGGAGGGTGATAGAGGCAGAGTTACATTATATAAGGGGGTTTGTAAGACAGAAAGCCTTTGTGTTCAAATCTCAGCTCGGGCACCATTATGCTGTGCAACTGTAGGCAAGCTACTTAAGCTCTGGGAACCTGAGTCTCCACACCTGTAAAATGGGAAAAATAAAACCAATTCTATGAGATCGTTTGTAGGCCTGGTGCGGTGGCTCACGCCTGCCATCCCAGCACTTTGAGAGGCCAACGTGTAAGGATCACCTACAATTTTTTTTTTTTTTAAACTGGGCATGGTGGCACGTGCCTGTAGCCTCAGCTACTAGGGATGCTAAGAGGGAAGAATTGCTTAAGCCAGGAGTTCGAGGCCTGCAGTGAGCTATGATGGCATCACAGCCTGGGCGATGAAGTGAGACCCTGTCTCAAATAAATAAAGATTGCTGTGTGCGAGAATTTCGGGCTCTGCAGACCTGCAGTTGAAATGTTCTCTGGACTATTCAGCCTTAGAGATTCTGATCTGAACCTTTCAGCTCACAGGTCCCTAAGACCAAGGCCTGCAGACCCCATGCCCAGGGCCTGACACACAGCTGGGCTCGACAATTGGTGCTGCCATATTTGCCATGTTGAGAAAGTTGTAGGCACCTGGGGCTGCCAGGGTGGCCCTCAGATATAGCAAGAGATCTTGAACCAGAAGTACCGCAGACTGGGCCCAGGGGCTTACGCCCGGAATCCCAGCACTGTGGGAGGCAGAGGCTGGAGGATTGCTTGAGCCCAGGAGTTTGAAACCAGCCCGGGCAACATAGTAAGACCCCTGTCTCTACAAAACAATCAAAAAATTAGCCAGGAATGGTGGTGGGCACCTGTGGTCCCAGCTACTTGGGAGGCTGAGGCAGGCAGATTGCTTGAGCCTGGGAGGTCGAGGCTGCAGTTAGCTAGATGATTGTGCCACTACCCCAGCCTGGGTGACACAGCCACACCTTATCTCAAGAAGAAGAAGGAGAAGGAGTAGGAGGAGAAGAAAGAAGAGAAAGAAAATGGAAGAAAAAGAGGAGAAGGAGAAGAACTGGACTCCCTCAAGGCGGCTGGAGCTCACGTGAGGTCAGGAGGGGTCAGGTCCCCACTAGACCGAGGGGCTCCCGGGCCTTTGGGAACAGCGAGGCTTACACTGCTTCCCTCATCAGAAACGTCACCACCACTGCTAGAGGTTGTTGGTGGGCCAAAAGCCCGAAGGAGAGCCCACCCCAGAACGTGACAGCCTGGGGCGGCGGGGGGGGGGGTGGTGGAAAGGAACAGGGAGCTGGGCAGTGAGACCCCAGAGCAGGGCACCTGAGAGAGCAGTGATCTGTGAGCGATGGCAGGGGTAAGAGGACTCACCAAACTGGGCAGCTTTGGCGGCTGCTTTAGCGGCGGCGGCAGCTGCTGGGGTCGCGACTCCTGGGGGCGGGAAGAGGAGGAGTGAGGGAGCGGTCTGAGCACCCCTCCCTGCTTCCCGCCTCTAGGTTAGTCTTCCTGTTTGTAAAATGGTGCAGTTGATCTTGGTCAACTCCAGGGACCCTTCCACGAGACAAACCAAACCCGTCTCTGGGCTGGAGACACCGCTCACCTGGCACTCCTCCGACTCCTGGCACACCAGGGACGGCGACTCCGGCACCTGGCACCAGCCCACCCAGCACTCCTGCGCCCCCAGCACCTGCGTGAGTGGAGAACTTTCAGCCTCGCCCCACCCAGTGCTCACTTTTTGGGGGAGCAAGGGTGAGTGGGAGAACAGGGGGAAAAGAGAATGGCTTCTTGGCACCTTCAATTCTTTTTATATTTTATTTTATTTTAATTTTTTGAGACGGAGTCTTGCCTTGTCGCCCAGGCTGGAGTGCAGTGGCATGATCTCAGCACACTGCAACCTCTGCCTCCCGGGTTCAAGCGATTCTCCTGCCTCAGCCTCCCAAGTAGCTGGGATTACAGATGAGCACCACCATGCCTGGCTAATTTTGGTATTTTTAGTAGAGACGGGGTTTCACCGTGTTGGCCAGGCTGGTCTCGAACTCCTGGCCTAAAGGGATCCATCTGCCTTGGCCTTCCAAAGTGCTGGGATTACAGGTGTGAGCCACTGTACCCGGCCAGGACACCTTCAATTCTGGGGGTGGGGGTGGGGTGATGAACAGGTCACCAACCATCCTAACGTTGGGCATCTGAAAAGGACAGTAGAATGGAGTGTGGCTTTGGAAGATGGGGCGGGGCCTCATGACCTTGGCCCAGGCCATTCTGGTCCTGGAGGCGTGGGAGCCGGTTTGCCCTGAGGTTGGACCCTGGGCCCCGTGGGAGAGCAGGGCTTAGGGACGGGCAGGGCAGGGGCACTTACCATACTTAGCAGCTTTGGCGGCAGCTGCTGCCTGGGCTTCAGCTGCAGGGAAACGAGAAAGATAGAGACCCTCAGAAGCCTTGCCTGGGTCTCCTCCGCACCGTGCTTAAAGCTCTTCTGCCCTGCAAGGCATGGACGGCCGCCCTATCCTCTCCCCCAGCCCCTCCCTGAGCACGCTCAAGCCTGATCTACACTCTCCACTGACCGTGTACAGCCAGCAGAAGAGAAGCCCCCATCCCTTCTCAACGATGTCCCCAGATGTGACTAAGGCTCACGGGAAATGGCAGCTCCCGGGACGACTCCGACTCCAGGGACGCCTCCAACTCCGACACCATAGCCGGGAAAGCCCCCGGGTCCAACCCCAAAAGTAGGAATGCCTCCAACTCCGACTCCAGCCCCTGCAGAGGGAAGAGAATCAATTGGAAAAGCAGCTCAGTGAGAGAGGCGGGGCGGGCTCTGAGGCGTGCTGATTTCCTGGGAAAGAGGATACAAGTTTCCCCCAAGCCTTGTCCATGAAAGACAGAAAACTGGGATGCCTGGGTCCCCAGCAGCCTTCACCATGAAGCCCTTAAAAAAAAAACTGGGGTGGGATGCAGTGGCTCACGCCTATAATTCTAGCCCTTTGGGAGGCTGAGGCAGGCAGATCACCTGAGGTCAGGAGTTCGAGACCAACTTGGCCAATATGGAGAAACTACGTCTCTACTGAAAAAACAAAAATTAGCCGGATGTGGTGGTGCATCCCTGTAATCCCAGCTACTCGGGAGGCTGAGGCAGGAGAATCACTTGAATCCAGAAGGTGGAGGTTGCAGTGAGCTGAGATCGTGCCACTGCACTCCAGCCTGGGCAACAGAGACGCCATCTCAAAAAAAAATTTTTTTTTTTTTTTGTCGCTGGGCGGGGTGGCTCATGCCCATAATCCCAGCACTTTGTGAGTCCAAGACAGGTGGATCACTTGAGCCTAGGAGTTCGAGACCAGGCTGGCCAACATGGCAAAACCCTGTCTCTACTAAAAATCCAAAAATTGGCCAAGCATGGTGGTAGATGTCTGTGATCCTAGCTTCTTGGGAGGCTGATGCAGGAGAATTGCTTGAACCTGGGAGGCGGAGATTGCAGTGAGCCAAGATCATGCCACTGCACTCCAGCCTGGGCAACAGAGACTTGCCTCAAAAAAAAAAAAAAAGAAAAAAAATTAAAAATTTTTTATTTTTAATTTTTTGTACAGATGGGGTCTTGCTATGTTGCCCAGGCTGGTCTCAGACTCCTAGGCTCAATCAATCCTCCTGCCTCAACCTCCCAAGTAGCTGGAACAAACAGGCACACGCCACTATGCCCAGCTACTTTTTACTTTTTTTTTTTTTGAGATGGTGGTTGCTCTGTTGCCAGGCTGGAGTGCTGTGGTGTGATCTCAGCTCACTGCAACCTTCACCTCCTGGGTTTGAGCAATTCTTCTGCCTCAGCCTCCGGAGTAGCTGGGATTACAGGTGTGTGCCACCATGCCCAGCTAATTTTTGTGTTTTTAGTAGAGATGGGGTTTCATCATGCTGGCCCGTATGGTCTCGATCTCTTGAGCTCATGATCTGCCCGCCTCCACCTCCCAAAGTGTTGGGATTACAGGCATGAGCCACTGCACCTGGCCTAATTTTTACATTTTATGTAGAGACAGGGTCTTGCTATTTTGCCCACACTGCTCTCTAATTCCTGGCCTCAAGCGATCCTCCTACCTTGGCCTCCCAAAATGCTGGGATTACAGGTGAGAGCCACTGAGCCCAGCCCCACCATGAAGTGACACCCTTCAGTCCTCCTCCAGCCCCTCTCCTCTCTGAGCACTTGGGGAAGACCCGCTTTGTTGGATGCAGAGAGACTATTGGCAGAATCCACATCCCCAGGCAGTTTTGGGCTCCTCTGAGGGGGTCTTGGCCAGAGCAGGGAGGGTCAGGGTCACTGTCCCCACTGGGAATGCCATCCTGGGACTTCCCCGCCACTCAGCCCCATGGCCCTATGGTGGGAGACAAATGAGGGAGACCTTGTCCTGAGACCTGCCAGTGACTTGCTGGGCGACCCTGAGCAAGTCACTCCCCTTCTCTGGGCAAGTAGAGGAGGGTCCTTTGGTTCTGGCAAGTAAAGGCCAGGACAGGGTGGGGCAGAGCTGTGAGCATGGCACTCACCGTATTTGGCTGCCTTCGCAGCTGCAGCTGGTGACACAGCTCCTGGAGAGACTGAGAGGGACGCGAATACTCAGGAGAGGTTGGAGGAGGGCTGCTGCTCAGTATGTCTCCCTCTGTCCACCCATCTGTGTTGGGCCATCTTCTTTACGCCAACATAGAGTCGGCTACACATCCATTTATGAACTGATGTCCACCCACCTGCCCATCTGTCTACCCAGCCACCCACATCATCCATCTACCGAACGACCCACCTCTATACCTGTCCATTTGTCTGTTTATCCTTGGATCTCAATCTGCCACCCAACCACCTAACTCTCTGTCCACTCATGCACTCATCTGTCTACCAACTTATCCCATCTGCCTACCTAGCCATTCAGGTAACGATTTAGCTAACCCTCCATTTCGTATTTACCTGCCCACCCTTCTACCATCCATCTATTCATCTGCTCATAAAATCATGTGCTCCTTCACCCATTCATCTATCCATCCATTCTTTCATCCAGCTTTCCATCTATCCATTCCCCCATCTATCTACCCATTTATCCATTCATTCATCCATTCTCCCATCCATCCATCCATCCCCCATCCATCCACCCATCCATCCATCCCCCATCCATCTACCCACACATCCACCCACCTACCCAACCATCCATCCATCCATGCATCCATTCATTCACTCATCTATCCATCCATCCACACACCCACCCATCCTTCCACTTATCCATCCATCCCCCATCAATCTACCCACACATCCATCCATCCATCCATCCATGCATCCATCCATCCATGCATCCATTCATTCACCCATCTATACAACCATCCACCCACCCACCCATCCATCCATCATCCATCCATCTACCCACACATCTACCCACTTACCCATCCATCCACCCGTTCATCCATCCACTTATCCATCCACCCATCTGTCCATGCATTCATCCATTCACCCATCTATCCATCCATCCACCCACCCACCCATACATACACTCACCCATCCATCACCCATCCATCTACCCACACATCCACCCACTTACCTATCCATCCACCCATTCATCCATCTACTCATCCATCCATCCATTCATCCATCCATGCATGCATCCGTTCACCCATGTATCCATCCACCCACCCACTCACCCACCCACCCATTCATCCACCCACCTACACTTCTATCCACCATAAACTGAGCACCTACTTAGCTAAGGGTTAGGAACATGGAGATGAAAAAGACATGGTTCCTGCCCCCAGGAGAACACTGATAGCCAGAAGCTTAATTGGAAAAGATGACGCAGGTTAGGAGCTAATTAGGAGATTGTCATGGCCTAAGGAAGAGAAGACGAGGGAATCAGGCACTGTCAAGGGTATAGGTACATTGTTGAGGTGTTAGGGAGAAATGTAAAATGTCGGCAATAGTCTCAGTATTTCTCTTTTACACATACACACACACACACACACACACACACACACACACACAGCCCAGCTCACCAACTCCTGGAACCCCAGCACCTGGGATCCCAGCGCCTGGGACACCTGGAATGCCAGCTCCTGGGACACCAACTACTCCCGGGCCAAAGCCTGGCCCGCCAGGCACTAAGCCTGTAGGAGCTCCTGTGGAAGAAAAGGCATTGCTCTCCTGACCTATGGGTCCCTCGCAGGGGCTCCAAGGGTGGTTAGTGGAGTATGGCAGTGACAGTTGGTCCTGATTGCAGGATTGCAGAGGGTGGACATTTCCTCTGCATGGATCCAACTCATCAGAGAGATGCGGAGGGACTGAGGGCCCCTAAAGAGAGCTCTAAGGGTGTGGATCTGTGTTGGAAGCAATGTGATTGATTTCTCTTTCTCTCTCCCCTTTCTCTCTCTCTTTCTTTCTTTCTTTTCTTTCTTTTTTCTCTCTCTCTCTTTCTTTCCTTCTTTCTTTCTCTCTTTCTTTCTCTTTTCTTTCTTCTTTCTCTTTCCCTCCCTCCCTCCCTTCCTTCCTTCCTCCCTCCCGTCAGCCCTCCCACCCCTTCCCTTCCCTCCCTCCCTCCCTCCCTCCCTCCCTTCCTTCCTTCCTTCCTTCCATCCTTCCTCTCTTTCTCTCTCTCTTCCTTTTTTTGAACCAAATTCTCACTCGCCCAGGCTGGAGTGCTGTGGCATGATCATAACTCACTCCAGCCTTGAACTACTGGGCTCAAGCGATCCTCCCACCTCAGCCTCGCAGGTAGCTGAGACCACAGGCATGTGCCAGCATGGCTAGCTGATTTTTAAATAATTTTTGGAAAGATGGGGGTCTCAGTGTGTTGCTCAGGCTGGTCTCAAACTCCTGGTTTCAAGCGATCCTCCCTCCTCAGCCTCCCAAATTGTTGGGATTACAGGCGTGAGCCACTGTACCTAGCTAGAATGTGATCTACTTCTAAGGCTCAGTCAGAATTCTTGCCACTGGGCACCCACTTAGTTGATGCAGCAGATGCCTGTGGGCCGGCCCTGGAGGGGATGGAGTGGGAGCAGCCAGGCGTTCTGCTGGGTTCCCCCCTCTGCTGAGTTAATCAGGGCAAAACAATAGAGATGGCATCTCAGGTAGAGTGACCAGAAGGAGTGAAGGTAAGGAGGCATGAACAATGCACATTTGGGGAGGGACAAACGCCAAGTCCCCCTGGCTTTAGGACTAGGGTCCCCAAGGTCCATGCAGGGGCCCTAGCCCTGGGCTTGCTGCCCCCGGAGGCACTCACCATATTTGGCTGCTTTAGCGGCGGCGGCTGCAGCAGCTGCGGCTGCAGCTGGGGCCCCAGCGCCTGAAAAGACAGCCACAAAGGGTGAAGTCCTTGCCCTGTGGCCATCTCAAGGACACACCCACCCCCTGCTGGGTCAGACATTACCTGCGATGCCTCCAATCCCAGGAATTGCACCAGCTGCCCCAGGAACGCCACCCACTCCAATGCCAGGGAGAACTCCGGCTCCGGCACCTGTTGAGATGGGGCAGTGCAATGTAGTTTCCCGAGGACCCTCCTGAGGACAGGAAGGAAGGCCACTTAAACGCCAGCATGTTCGCCAGCGTGATCTCATCCAGGAATGGGGCCCGGGTGTCTCCAGATGGACCTGTTTGAGGAGGTCCCCACCCCACTCCGCTGTTCCTTGACTCACCCCCAAAGTGTCTGTTTCAACACGCTCATTAAGGGACTTGTATGTTTTCAGACAAATCCCATTCTAATCACTGCCACATACTGAGAAACCACAAGTGGCCGCTCCCCGGGCCAGAGGGGCCCCTGCAGGAATGTTCAAGACTTCCTCTCCCTGTGTTCCGAAGACGCAGCCAAGTTTGTAATCCAAGCGCCTGGCCGCTTGGCTCTGGCAGCCCCTTGCAGCCCCACTCTCCCGCTCCCACATTCCAGCCGGCCCCACCAGCGCTGGGGCCAAGGAGCCTTGGGTGCTGGGAGGGGGGCCTGTGGGGCCTCTGAGGGGGCAGCTCCAGGCTTCTCCCCACATTCTCGCTCCTCGGGCGGGTAGGGAGATAAGGAAAGGGCTTCCCTGGGGCTGAGGATGAAGGAGGACTTTAACCCTAGTGATCTGACTCTAAGCTGGGGACTACCTGGGGTGGGGAACAGATGCCCACTGACCCACTGCATGGGTACAGGAATACGATGTTCCATCTGCAGCCATGCTATCCAAGAGCTCACTGGCTTGAGCAGTGCGTTGACATTTTTACAGTACACATTAAATTAATACATAACTATTAAATGTTTTAAATGCTCATATATGCACCATCTAAAATGATCTTTCCAACCACCATGGTACCCATTCCCTCTGCTTGGCCTCTTCTTTCCTGTTCTAACCACATGGTAAGCTCCATCTTTATTTTTAAGGCCTGAATCAAATGTCACTTTCTGTGGGAAGCCTTTATAACTTTCCCAAGGTAGAAAGAATGCCTCCCGTTATGAATGAATGGATGCATGGAGGAATGGATGGTTGGGTGCATGAATGCATGGTGGAATGGATGTATAGATGGATGGTTGGATGGAGGAATGAACAGATGGATGGATGGAGGATGGATGGATCACGGGGAAATGGATGGATGGGTGGATGGGAGATGGAAGAATGGAGGAATGGATGGATGGATAGAAGAATGGACGGAGGGAGGGATGGATGGGTGCATGGATGCGAGGAGGAATGGATGGATGGATGGATGGTTGAATGAAGGAATGAATGGATGGATGGAAGGATGGATGGATCATGGAGAAATGGATGGATGGGAAGATGAATAGATGGAAGAATGGAGGAATAGATGGATAGATGGATGGTTGGATGGAGGAATGAATGGATGGATGGAGGATGGATGGATCATGGAGAAATGGATGAATGGGTGGATGGACAGATGGAAGAATGGAGGAATGGATGGATGAGTAGATGGATGGATAGAATGGATGGAGGGAGGGATGGATGGATACATGGATGCATGGAAGAATGACTGGATGGATGGAGGGAGGAATGAATGGATGGAAGGATGGATGCATCGTGGAGGAATGGATGGATGGGTGCATGGAGGAATGGATGGAGGGATAGGTGGACACATGGAGGAATGGATGGATGGAGGCATGGACGAATGGGCAGATGGATGGATGGATGGAAGAATCGATGGAGGGATGGTGTGACGGATAGATAGATGAGTGGATGGATGGATAAAGGAATGGATGGAGGGATAGATGGATGCATGAAGGAATGGACAGTTGGATGAATGGATGCATGGAGGAATAGACAGATAGATGGTGGATGGATGGATGAATGGAGGGAGGGAATGATAGATAGATAAATGGATGGATGGATGGGTGGATGGGTAGATGGATGCATGGAGGAATGGATGGATGAGTGGATGGATGGATGGAAGAATGGATGGTGGGGGGGATTGATGGATGGATAAATGAATGGATGAGTGGATGGATGGATAGATGAATGGAGGAATGGATGGATGGATGGGTGGATAGATGAATGGAGGGAGGGAGTGGTAGGTGGGTGGATGAGTGGATGGATGGATTGTGGACAGATGGAATGATGGATGGATGCATGGAAAAATGGATGGATGGATGGGTAGATGAGTAGATGAATGAATGGATGAATGGATGGATAGATAGATGGATGCATGGAGGAATGAATGGAGGGATGAATGAATGAATGGATGAGTGGATGGATGGATGGATGGGTAGGTGAGTAGATGAATGAATGGATGAATGGATGGATGAGTGGATGGATGGATGCATGGATGGGTAGATGAGTAGATGAATGAATGGATGAATTGATGGATAGATGGATGCATGGAGGAATGAATGGAGGGATGAATGAATGAATGGATGAGTGGATGGATGAATGGATGGATGGAGGGAGAGATGGATGAATGAGTGGATGGATGAGTGGATGAGTGGATGCATGGATGGGTAGATGAATGAATGGATGAGTGGATGGATGGATAGATGGACGCATGGAGAAATGAATGGAGGGATGGATGGATGAATGGATGGATGGATAGAGGGAGAGATGGATAGATGAATGAATGGATGGATGACTGGACGGATGGATGCATGGATGGGTAGATGAAAAGATGAATGAATGGATGAGTGGATGGAGGGATAGATGGATGCATGGAAGAATGGAAATGGAAGGAGGGAGGGATGGATGGATGAAAGGATGTCTAGATGAGTAGATGGATGGATAGACAGATGCATAGAGGAATGGATGGAGGAGGGAGGGATGGAGAAAGCAATAGATGGATGGAAGGATGAATGGATGCATGAAAGAATGGATGGAGGGAGGAATATATAGATGGGTGATGTTGAAAATCTTGAGTAAATGGGGGAAGTAGGGGCACTTTTGTCATTCATCTGTGAGGCAGGCTCTCAACAGTAATGGGAATGGAGAGGCTGGGGGGCTGGAGGCCACCAGACAGGGACCCCAGGGGCACTCACCAAACTTTGCTGCCTTAGCTGCTGCCGCTGCTGCTGCCTGAGGGCCAACCCCTGGGGGAGGGGAGCAGAGGGGAGAGACCCTGAAACAGTGCTCCTGTATCTCCAGAGCCCACTTGTTCCCAGCCTGGAGAGAACCACTCCACTGACATAGGGGTGTGAGTGGGGCTCACAGCAGGCAGAGGCGACGGAGCTGCCCCACCCCTCCCCCAGGATCCTGTTCCAGGTTTGGACCAGATTCTGGATGCAGGGTGGGCTGGCCTGCTTTTGTAGAGAACCTCGCCTGTCCCAGGGCTCTGGAGCCTGCAAGATCAGGGCTCCCTCAGCTGGAAGTGAGGGGAGGCTTTCGTTACCTGTCCCTGTTGGGTAACCAGCCTTGCCCGCTGCACCAGCCACTCCGCCAGGCCCATAGCCTGCAAAACAGAGAGGCTCGGTGGTCATCCGTGCAGACGTCACCGCTGCTGCCCTCCCCCTCTCCCTGCCCTGTCCTCGAGGCCCCGGCTGTCTTGAGTCTGCACCCTGTCACCCCCAGCCAGAGTGAAAACAAATACAAACACCCGTATGGAATTGTTCCGCCCATTTTACAGATGAGGACACAGAGGCTCAAAGAAGCAATGCAGCTCACCTAAGGTCTCATTATTGGTAGGTGGGAGGGCAGGGATGCAGACCCACGCTGAGGCCAAATTTCATGCCCTTTCCTTCTGAGACTCCCACTCCGAGCCCCTAACCCTCCCCCAGCAAGGTGCTCCCCTGGCCCAGGGATGGGGGCATAGCACCTTTGCTAGAATCCTGGAGTGGGAACGGGCTGGATAGGCCCCAGTCTAGAAGGGTCTCACTCACCAAAGGGCAGTTTCCCAGTGCTGTAGGGAAGTCCATAGCCACCTGGGGAGAGGACATGGCAGACTCAGGAGTTGCCCCACGCCTTGCTGGGCTCCCACAGAGCTGGGCGGACAGATCTGTCCCCACAGGTGCTGAGGCCTGAGACCCCCTGCCCCCAGACCAGGATCCTGAGCTGCTCTCAGGACAGCAGGGGCGTTGGGTGGAGGAGGGAGAGGACACTTCTGCCGCTGGGCCCAATGGAACACCCATCCCCCTACAAATTCAAGCCCCACCATGGTCCTGGAGTCTGAGTATTTTCCTGATGCCCCTCCTCAGTGGAAAGCATCTCACTGGCTAAGCTGATTGCGGAGGTAGGGGTGGAAGCATGGGTGGGTGGATGTCAGAGGGACCTTTCCAGTGAACGGCGTTCCCTTCCATCAGCACAATGGCTTCTGATCGGGACTATGGGTCTCTGTGCATGAGCGTGTGTGTGTGAGTTCGATACCTGCAGATGACTTCCCATGCTCTCCTTGGCTGGGGACCATACGGGGGCTTCAATACCCCTCCCCTGCCACCAGAGACGCCTGCACCCAGGCTGACTTCTCTGCAGGGAGGCTCAGTGAGTGGTGCATTATTTATTATTTTTTTTAGAGACAGAGTCTCACTCTGTCACCCAAGCTGGGGTGCAGTGGCATGATCTCGGCTCACTGCAACCTCTGCCTCCCGGAGTCAAGTGGTTCTCCCACTTCCGCCTCTCCAGTAGCTGGGATTACAGGCCTGTGCCACCATGCCTGGCTGATTTTTTTTTTTTTTTTTTTTAGACGGAGTTTCACTCATGTTACCCAGGCTAGAGTGCAATGGCGCGATCTTGGCTCACCGCAACCTCCGCCTCCTGGGTTCAGGCAATTCTCCTGCCTCAGCCTCCCGAGTAGCTGGGATTACAGGCACGCGCCACCATGCCCAGCTAATTTTTTGTATTTTTAGTAGAGACGGGGTTTCACCATGTTGACCAGGATGGTCTCGATCTCTTGACCTCGTGATCCACCCGCCTCGGCCTCCCAAAGTGCTGGGATTACAGGCTTGAGCCACCGCGCCCGGCCAGATTTTTTGTATTTTTAGTAGGGACAGGGTTTCGTCATGTTGGCCAGGCTGGTCTCGAACTCCTGACCTCAACTGATCCTCCCGCCTCGGCCTCCCAGAGTGCTGGGACTACAGGCATGAGCCACGGCGCCTGGCCGAGTGGTGCATTTTGAACCATCCCTCTGACTTACCGGGCAGCTTGGGGGCCTTGATGGGGTACCCCAGTGGGACTCCAGGTTGTTGTCCCGCAAAGGGTCCAACTCCTGTGGGAATAAAGAGAGCCAGTTCAGGTCCCGGCAGCCCCTTCCAAGCCCTCCGCCGCCCGCTCCACTTTCTGCTCAGACAGAAGGAACTTGCTACAGCTGCAGAAGCCATCCTGTCTCCAGGGCCTCCCTGAATCTCCATCACGGGTCAGCTGAGAAATTCCCAGCGATAAGCTACTTCCTCCAGGAAGCTGCGGGATTCTCTCCCTCCTGGGATAGATGAAGGGAAGGCTGGATGCATGGAGGAATGGGCAGATGGATGAATGGATGCATGGAGGAATAGATGGGTAGATGGTGGATGGATGGATGAATGGATGGGTGAGTGAATGGATGGATGAGCGGACGGATGGATGCATGGATGGGTAGATGGGCAGATGAACGGATGTATGAGTGGACGGATGGATAGATGGATGCATAAAGGAATGGATGGAAGGAGGGAGGGATGGGCCCCAGTTCCGGCCTGCAGTTTGGGCCTGCAGCCCTTGGCACAGGCTGGCGGGTTTTCTGGGCTTCTTTGGGCTGCTGTGCTGGCGGGGGAAGCAGGCCTGGGACGGGTGCCACTTTGTGCTACATCCACTGCAAGGCCCGGCACAGCAGGCATGGGGGAAATCAGGCAGGCTCGGATGGGATCTTGGGTGCCCAAGATTTTGTATTATTGGTAGAGACAGGGCTTCACCATGTTGGTCAGGCTGACCTCGGGTGGTCTGCCCACCTCCCAAGGGCTCTCCCCTCCCAAGGCAAGAGCCCCTGCCTGGCTGGCCGCCCTGCTTCTCCCACCAGCCTTGCCTTACCTGGAATTCCAGCAAAAGCTCCAGCTCCAACTGTAATGATAAAAGAGCTGTCACTGCAGCCCCGGCACCGTGGACACCAGGCCAGACGGCACCGAGGGGCCAGGAGGCCCAAGGGATGGCCAGTTCCTCCCAGCCCAGTTGTCCTGTGCTGCCCTCACATGCATTCTGGGATTTCTTTTTTCAGAGATGGAGTTTCTCTCTTGTCGCCCAGGCTGGAGTGCAGTGGCGTGATCTCAGCTCACTGCAACCTCCACCTCCAAGGTTCCAGCGATTCTCCTGCCTCAGACTCCCAAGTAGCTGGATTACAGGCACATGCCACCATGCCCAGCTAATTTTTGTATTATTAGTAGAGACAGGGCTTCATGTTGGTCAGGCTGACCTCAGGTGATCTGCCCGCCTTGGCCTCACAAAGTGCTGGGATTACAGGCGTGAGCCACTGCATCTGGCCTTTTCCTTTTTTATGGCGGGACAGGGTCTCTCTCTGTTGCCCAAGCTGGAGTGCAGTAGTGAGATCACAGCTTCCAACAACCTTGACCTCCCTGGCTCAAGAGATCCTCCTGTCTCAGCCTCCTGAGTAGTTGGGACCACAGGTCTGTGTGACTACGTCTGGGTAATTTTTTAATCGTGTTTTTGTAAAGATAAGGTCTTGCTATGTTGCCCAGGCTGGTCTTGAACTCCTGGGCTCAAGCGATCCTCCCAGCTCACCCTCCCCAAACACTGGGATTATAGGTGTGAGTCAGTGCACCCAGCCATACTCTGGGGTTTCTCAGGAACATAAAAGGTGTCACCCAGAGGGCCCTGAGCCAGTCCAGGATCCCACCGCATTTCACACCCCGGGCCAGAAGGTGGTTGGAGAGTCCCTACCATCAGCCCTCTGCCCAGACACCTGCATACCTGGAGCCTTGGGCTTGACTCCTGTTCCAGTAGGAACACCAGGGAGCACTCCCACACCGGGGAACCGAACTCCTGCCGGGGAACAAAGCGGTGAGCACAGAAAGGCAGGTCTTGCAGGCCCCGCCAGGAACCCCTCCCTTCCTTGGGTCCCCTAGCTGACCTCCCTCAGGACCCACTGTCAGTGACAGGCACGGCTCTGGGGGGCGGGTGGAGAAAGGATCTGTTTAGCGCTGACTTTCCTCCCCTGTCTGGCTCAAGGTCAGAAGATCTGAATGTTAATCCTATTTCCCAGCCATGTGAGCTCGTGCCTCAGTCAGCCTCATCTCTACGTGGAGTTAATCACAAAAGCCGTCGCGACCACCCTCTGCAGAAAAGGCAAAGCTGCCATGCGGCGCCACACATCCGAAGACCAAGGAAGCCTGTGTTCTCTGGGGCTCTCGCCCACAACCCATGCCCCCAGAGCAGACATCCGGCTACAGCTGGGACCCATGCCAGCGTCTCCCACCTCTCCCGTCTCCCCTGGGGCTGGGCAGCCTTGGCTCTCGGTGTAGCGGGGGAGAGAGGGAGGAAGGGCCACTCTGTCAGCAAATCCCACAGAAGAGCCTAAATTTGGGCTTTTGGGGGAATTCAGGAGATCACATGTTGGGTGGGGTGGTCAGGCCCTGGCGGGGAAGGAGGGTGAGGGGCAGCTCTTCAGGGTCTCCTGCAGGGCAGACTCACTGGGTGGCCCCCTGGTGACTCACAGCTTTTGGGAAGCAGCGGGTCACACTGGGGTCTGTCCTCGGGGGCCCGCCTAGGGCTGTGATGATGGTCTGAGCCTGGGATCAGGGTTTGGGTGGGGCACAGGAAGCCTGTTGACCTTTGGGGGATGGAGGGACTGCCAGGGGACCTTATGTCTGTGAAGCCCTAGCGTTGGTGTCTGGGGAAATGGCCCAGGTCAGGACCCAGGTGTTCTGGTGGCCTCTGCTTTTCGGGGAGGCAGCGGGGGTACTAGGGAGGCTGATGGAGGCTGCTTTTCTTTTTTTCTTTTGAGACTGAACTCTCACTCTTGTTGCCCAGGCTGGAGTGCAATGGCGCAATCTCAGCTCACTGCAACCTCCGCCTCCTGAGTTCAAGCTATTCTCCTGCCTCAGCCTCCCGAGTAGCTGGGACTACAGGCCTGCGCCACCACGCCCGGCCAATTTTTGTATTTTTAGTAGAGACGGGGTTTCTCCATGTTGGTCAGGCTGGTCTCGAACTCTTGACCTCAGGCGATCTGCCCGCCTTTGCCTCCCAAAGTGCTGGGATTATAGGCTTGAGCCACTGCGCCCGGCCTTCTTTTTCTTATTTTGAGACAGGGTCTTGCTCTGTCCCCCAGGCTGCAGTGCAGTGGCACCATCATAGCTGACTGCAGCCTGGGCCTCCTGGGCTCAAGCAATCCTCCCGCCTCAGCCTCCCGAGTAGCTGGAACTACAGGTGCATGCCACCACGCCTGGCTGATTTTTTTTTTTTTTGTAGAGACAGGGTCTTACTCTGTTGCCCAGGCTGGTCTTAAACTCCTGGCTTCAAGCCATCCTCCCACCTCAGTCTCCCAAAGTAATGGGATTACAGGTGTGAGCCACCGTGGCCAGGCTGCTTTCTTCCTATAGAGTCCCTGCTTCCCTCCTTGCCCTCACCTGTGCCTGGGAGCACGCCACCTGGGTATACACCTGGCAGCCCCACACCTGTGCCCAAAAGAAAGCAAAGTCAGGAGCAGCAGCTCAGCTTCCAGGGATCCCCTCCCGGCCCTTCCCACCCAGGCAGCTCCAGGGCTCTCAAACCAACAGCCCCTGTGCCCGACAGGGGCAGCCAGGGACAGACGTGGGGTGGCCATCACCCTCCTCCCACAAGTTTCGGAAGTCATCTGCAAACTCTTCGGTGTGTGGATTTATCTCCATCTCCTGGAGCCTATTTACACGGCTGGGCCAGCCCACCTCTGGCTAACAGCTTCCAGATGTCCCTCCCTGCTGTGTGGACTCAACCAGCCTTTTGTTCAACCTGAAGTCACTTCCTAAAGAGCTTGGTGAGGCACACCGAGTACCAGATGGGGAGTCAGAGGACACGGGGCTCCCCTAGCTCTGCTGGGACTCCCTGCAAGCCCTTCCACACTGATTCGCCCTTTGAGCCTCAGTTTCCCCCTCTGTTGCCTGTCGAGACAGCCTGCCACAGAGCCTGTCTCTTTCTACCCTAAGATACTGGGAGAAGGGCCTGGGAAGTAGGCCAGGCCCCTCCTCTCCGTTTCACAGACGCAGGCATCATACTTTGGGCCTGGTTATTTTCTCTGCCCGGCTGGAGCCCGCACTGCCCTTCCTCCCCAAGCGGAGTGGCGTGGAGAGGGCTCTGCCCCTCCCCGCCCTCTGCCCCTCCCTGCCCTCTGTCCTCCAGCCCCGGGGATTCCGCACTGACCTGGCACTTTTCCCGGCTTCACTCCGGCTCCAGGCTGAGGAACCACTGCACCTGGCACAGACGGGGATGCGTGAGGGTGGGCTCCACCCAGGCCTGCCACCCTGGCCCCGGGAGCTCGGGGATAGCCACTGTACCTGTAGACACTCCTAAGCCACCAACTCCTGGGACGCCACCAACACCTGGGACGCCACCCACTCCTGGGACCACACCAAGCCCGGCGCCTGCAGAGCCAGCATAGGTGAGGCATTGCACGAGGAACAGTGGGGAGGCAGAAGGGCCCAGCATTGAGGTCTGGCCCCGTTGCCAACTCACTTGTGGACTGGGCACAGCTAGCTGCCCCCCTGAGCCCCAGTAGGTTGGAGCTGACAATCCCACCCAACCGGCTCCCAGGCCTGGGTTGAGGGAAGGCTCTTTGCAAAGCAGAAGGCCCCATGGAAGCCAGAGGGCTTGTGGCATGTCCCAAGGAGCACCACTCACCAGCCTTGGCAGCTTTATAGGCTGCAGCAGCGCCAGCCACTCCGCCAGGCACCAGAGCCCCCGGAAAGGTCCCTGCAGGGAAGGCACCGAGCCCTGCGGAGGGGAGGATGGGATGAGGTCCTGAGCTACCACACCCATAGACTCCTATGCTCTGGCCCCACCTGGCCGGGCCCTGCTCAGGAAGCACGTTGGAGGCTCTTCCGCTCTCGGCCAGACATCAACGCCTGCAGGACATCGATGTGACCACTGCTCACCAGGACTGGGTTTTTTTTTTTTTTTTTTGAGACAGAGTCTCACTCTGTCACCGAGGCTGGTGTGCAGTGCTGTGACCTCGGCTCACTGTAGCCTTGACCTCCCAGGCTTAAGCAACCCTCCCATCTCAGCCTTCTGAGCAGCTGGGACTATAGTTGCATGACATCGTGCCTGGCTAATTTTTTTTTTTTTTTTTTTTTTGTATTTTTTGCAGTGGCAGGGTTTCACCATGTTGCCCAGGCTGGTCTTGAACTCCCAGGCTCAAGCGATCTGCCCATCACGGCCTCCCAAAGTGCTAGGATTACAGGCATGGGCCACTGAACCCAAGCATCAGGACTAGACTCTGTGCTGAGGTTAATGTGTCAGATAGCTCTAACAAACCTGCATGGGTCTTTTTTTTTGTTTGCCTTTAGAGATGGGGTCTTGTGGCCGGGCACAGTGGCTCATGCCTGTAATCCCAGTGCTTTGGGAGGTCGAGGTGAGCAGATCACTTGAGGCCAGGAGTTTGAGACCAGCCTGGTCAACATGGTGAAACCCCATCTCTATTAAAAATACAAAAATTAGCTGAGGGTGGTGGCGTGTGCCCGTAATTCCAGCTATTTGGGAGGCTGAGGCAAGAGAATCACTTGAACGTGGGAGGTGGAGGTTGCGACAGTTGAGATGAAACCACTGCACTCCAGCCTGGGCGACAGAGTGGGACCCTGTCTCAGCAATAGCAACAAAACAGATGGAGTCTTGCTCTGTCACCCAGGCTGGAGTGCAGTGATGTGATCACAGCTCCCCGAAGCCTCAACCTCCTGGGCTCAAGCGATCCTCTCTCTTCAGCCTTCCTGAAAACTGCATGGATCTTTTGGGGTTCAGTTTCCCCACCCGCCTCCCCTAGAATGCCTTCCTGAACCCTTGCTGAGTTAAGCGACTCCTCTGGGCTCCCTCTGTTCATGGGGCTTCCTCCGTTCATGGGGCTTCCTCCATATAGCCTTCACCACTAAATTATAAATGACCCCAGGTACGCAGCTGTGATTTCCTCACATCCTGGGCAGATGCTTGGGGCAGGCGGTATCAGCATCAGTCCCCATCAGTGCCCAGGATGGAACCTGGCCTGTACCCCTGTCCGCTGACTGTGTTCCATACCAGCCCTGGGTTGAGCTCAGGGGCTGGTCCGAGCAAGGGGCATCTTGCCTGGGTGTCGGCACTCACCTGCCCCGGGGCCAACGCCTGCGAGCCCTCCAGGACCCGTGGAAAGGAAAGAAAGACAGGAGTGAAGGCAGCATTCCGAGGCCCAGAGTGGGAAGGGTCTGATGGAGTTAGGACAGTGCTGTGGTCAGCCACTTGGGTCCCTAGGCTGGTCCCTGAGCCTGTGGTGCTCAGGGGCGATCCTGATAAAATAGTGTAGTGAGCAGCTACTGTGTGCAGTGCAGGCGTGATTGCACCGACCCCTAGCAAACCCGGGCCGGGCCTGTGCCTCTCCTAGAAGTCCTGCTGGCTAGCAGGATTCCACAGGGCTTTCTGCAAGGGCCGGGGCTGAGCAGAGCCCGTGAGTGAGGCCTTACTCCCCTTCACCTGCATCGGGGAGCTCCCGTGTCCCCACCATCCGCCTGTCCTTCCATCCAGCCTGCCTTGCAGCTCAGGATTCTCCTTGATCGGATGTTTACGAGATACCAAATGGGTCCCTCTGGCTCTCTCCTCCCCACATCTGGGCCCAATCGCTTCATCTCCCGCTGCGGGAGACATTCCACTGGCCTGGGCCAGGACCAATGGGCCATCAGGTTGGAGTTCACAACCATACCAGGTTTGCTTCTAATTATGTGAGGATCTCTCCTACAAGTGCCAGTCCTGAGCCCCAGGGACAAGTCCTCTCCAGGGACGGATCCCAAACCTGGAGCCTGCTGTGCTACGCCATGGAGAGGTGCCCCTCTGGCTTTCCCTGGGTGTGGTCTCCGTTACTAACCACTCCTCGTTCCCATTTCCTGCTAGTGGGAACTGGACCTCTCCGAGACTCAGCCAGCCTCATGTAAGACGCATGTCTGCCCCTGGGCGGGAGCGCCTGGCGATCAGGCAGGACTCAGTTCCCAGCACCCGGGCCCTGCCCCACCAGCTTTGGCAGCTGCTTCTCTCAAGCCAGGCCTGTTTCCTGAGCTCAGAGAGGGCGACAGACAGGTTCAGGTCTTTCCTTTCCACAGAGGCGCTGGCAGGGGAAGCTGAGGACTGGATAGGAAGTGAGAAGAGGCTGGGGCTGCAGCAGGGGACAGGCCGCACCTCTGCAGTCATCTACCCTTTTCCCCATGGTCCCAGCCTGTGCGTCCTGTCCTCTGGCCTGACCACTTCCACCCCTGCCTGCCCTCCTTCCTTTGCACTCACCTGCCCCAAATGCCCCAAGGAGTCCAGCACCTGGAAAGGAGGAGGAAGCGCGGAGGGGCTGACCACAGCTGGGAGTCCGGGGACCTGCCCAGCCTCATCTTTCTTTTTGGAGTCAGAGAGTTCTTGATTCAGACCCTGCTGCTGCCACCCAGTCTCCACGAGCATGAGCAGGTCAATTTCCCTCTCTGATGAGGCTCAGTTTCCCCCGTCTACCAAATGGCTATTATATCGCCTGCCTTCCTGGGACCAGTGTGCATGTATGCAGAAAGCACCTAGTGTGTGCAACCTACCCTGGGCGCACAGTGGGTGCTCCCAGCTCTTTCTCATCCTTGCCTGTGCCCCTCTCGGCGGGCAGCTGGCCTCTGGCTAGGGCTCAGGGTGTGGGGCGTGCAGGCTCCCAGCTGCCTGGTCCCCCGCTGAGAACTGAGGCAGGGCGGGGCCAGCTTGGGCCCGAAGTGGCGCCCACGTGGAAAAGCAGCTGCCAGGCCACCCACCCTCTACCACCAAGGGATTAAATGTTCCCAAGCACGACACGCGCTGCCTGTGCCCCATTCCACCCTGCCTGGGCAGGCCCGGACATCCCTGAAGCCCGGATGTGGGGGCCTCCCTGGGGGTGCCATGGGGACTCTGCCAACCCCTTTGTCATCCCGAGTCTTCGGGGAGGTCATGGAATCCAGCCCCTTGCCTGGAAGGAAACAGTGCCCTTTTTATCAGAAGGCGACGCTCTGACTTTCCTTTGGATCGACCCCTTCACCCTGGGCTGGAAGTTCTTTCAGACGTCTAACCTAAATCTTTCCTTAAAAAAAGCTTCACTTTTGTAGCTGTACATCCTGGAGCTCTGGAGGGCACTGTGTCTTTCTCTGGTATTTAGTCACAACCTGCTATGCGTCTCTTGCTGCTAGTGGGATCAGTGAATGCACTCTCCGGCTTTGCAGACACAACCTCCACAATTTGGGTCTTCTAGGCCAAGCACAGTTCCACCTCCACACTTCTGTGCCAGTCGTATCTTCCCTGTCCGCTCTCCACCATCAAAGACCCTGCCAAGACCCCTCACCCGCTCCAGGAAGACAGGGTGTAGGTGCTGGCAGGGATGAGTGGCAACCCCCCAGGTCTCCTGGCCTTGTGGAGCCCCGTATACCCCAGGCACCCCATTCTCCTCCCGCCTCTCCTGGCCCCAGCCCCAGCGTTTCACAACCCAGATGGACTTTCAGCGCAGGGGAATCTGGGGCTTGAAGATTCATTTGCACTTGGATTATCAACGGTCGGGATTTCATAAGAGCTCTTGGACATCTAAACTGTGTCCCAGAGCCTTGGGCTTCTGAGCCAGGGCAACACAGCTCAGGGTGTCTCAGGGTGTGGGGCAGCCAAAGTCACATGTGGAGCATGTCACGCCGAGGGGCTATCAATCTGGACGGAGACGCTGTTTCCTCCACCTGCTCCTTATCCACCAGTATTTCCCAGAGGGAAATATTGCCACACCCTCCTTCCTGGGGGTGCATTCCCCAGAGCTGACAGTGGATCCTGGGGGCAGATCCCAGTCCCTTGGGGGAGGCCGGGATAGATCCGGCCACACCTTCTTACTGGAAATCTCCATGGTCTGGATACAGCTGGAAGGGGCCTGAGATCAGGAGGGGAGCTCATCTGGGGCCAGGGTGGTGCCCAGCTTGGGCTGGGGGACAGGGCTTGGCCTGAGGCCAGGGTTGGGTGTCCTGTGAGACCGGGATCAACAGGATCAGGGTTTGACCTGGGGTTAGGCTCGGCTTGGGCTGGGGTCAGGTGTCAGCTTGAGACCAGGGCTCTGTCTGGAGTTAGGAGAAGAGCTCAGAATGGCATCAAGGTCATGGCTATCTGGGGTGTTGGTCTGGAGTCAAGGGCTAGGGGACCACTCAGGGGAAGTCTGGGTCTGAGGATCTGCGTCTGAGCCCCAAAGTGTCTCGTACAGGCTTGGAAGCCACTGGATCCAGAGCAATCCCCATGTTGTCTCTAGTACCAAGGCTGTCTCCGAGACAGCCTCTCCTTTGCAGAGAGGAGCCTCTGCACAGCTGGGTGCACACACAGGGGTGTGTGGGGTACATGCAGGTGGAGCTGCCTCCAGCCTCCTGTTCCTGGAAGCCCTGGGACTTGGCCCCGGCCTGCTCATCCCTGGGACGCTAATCGGGGTCCACACCTCCCTCCTTCCCCCTGCCCGTTGGCTTCCTTGTCCCGTTACCCCTCCCTCTCCAGCCCCCTTGCTTTCTGTCAACACCCTGAGGCCTTGGGTCTTACCTGGCTTGGGAGGTTTGACTCCAGGTCCCAGCGCTGTAGAGGGAAGAGAAGATAGTGAATGGGGAGGCCCAGCCCATCTATCTACCACTTTTCCAACCCCCATCCCGGGCAAAGTGTGGGCAGTGTGGAATCTCATGCCCTGGGTCCTCCCCCCTCGGACATGGAGGCCCTGGGAAGCTAGCTCTATTTCTAACGCGTAGTTTATACTATCTGAACCCCAGAGTCTCAGCCTCAAAAGGGGATGATGGGCTGGGGCGGTGGCTCACGCCTATAATCCCAGCACTTTGGGAGGCCAAGGCAGGTGAGTCATCTGAGCTCAGGAGTTGGAGATCAGCCTGGCCAACATGGCAACACCTGTCTCTACTAAAAATACAAAATTGGCCGGGCTTGGTGGCAGGTGCCTGTAATCCCAGTTACTCAGGAGGCTGAGGCAGGAGAATCACCTGAACCCGGGAGGTGGAGGTTGCAGTCAGCCGAGATCTGCCATTGCATTCTAGCCTGGGCAGCAAAAGTGACACTCGGTCTAAAAAAAAAAAAAGAAAAAAAAAAAAAGATGATGGTGTTTGCCTAGCTGGCTTGGCAGGGAGGTTTTTGAGGATCAAAAGAAATAGAAAGGGGCCAGGCATAGTGGCTCATGCATGTAATCCCAGCACTTTAGGAGGCTGAGGTGGGCGGATCACCTGAGGTCAGGAGTTCAAGACCAGCCTGGCCAACATGGTGAAACCCCGTCTCTACTAAAAATACGAAAATTAGCTGGGCGTGGCGGCGTGCGCCTGTAGTCCTAATTGGGAGGCCAAGAGAGGAGAATCACTCGAACCTGGGAAGCGGAGGCTGCAGTGAGCTGAGATCGCACCACTGCACTCCAGCCTGGGCAACAGAATGAGACTGTCAAAAAAAAAAAAAAAAAAAGAAGAAGAAGAAGAAATAGGAAGGCAGAGGCCACCAGGGAGGAAGCCCAGGGGAGGGACGGAAGGCCAGTGGATTCTGGTTCTTCGACAAGCCTCCTCCCCTCCCCTGGATGCTGCCTGTGAAATGAGGGAATCCTTGATGCGTAGAACTTGGGATTCTCAGGTCTGAGGTGTGTGTGCTGGGGTGAGACCCAGGCCCCTTCAGTGAAGAGCACGTGTGGTTCCTGAGCTTACCTCCTACTCCAAGGCCTCCAAGACCAGCCCCTATTGGGGGAAAGAGAGAGAAAGAGCATTGGTACTCCTGCCCGGCTAGCCCGCCCCACCCAGCCGTGGCTGACCCCACCCCTGCTGAACTACCTGACCCTGGGCAAGCCCTGCCCTCTGCAAGCCTGCATTTCCTCTTCTGCTTTGCCAACAGCCTTGTGCCAGTTTGTATCTGGGGGGTTGCTGGTGTCTCTCCCTACTTCCATGTCAGTTCTGCACACTTAAATTATTTTTAAGTATTGGAAGTATTACTTTTGATTTTTCTTTCTTTTTTTTTTTTTTTGAGATGGGGTCTCACTCTGTCACCAGGCTGGAGTGCAGTGGCATGATCTCAGCTCACCGCAACCTCCCCTTCCCCGGTTCAAGCGATTCTCCTGCCTCAGCCTCCTGAGTAGCTGGGATTACAAGCATGCACCACCATGCCTGGCTAATTTTTGTACTTTTAGTAGAGACGGGGTTTTACCATGTTGGCCAGGATGGTCTCCATCTCTTGACCTCGTGATCCACCCTCCTCAGCCTCCCAGAGTGCTTGGATTACAGGTGTGAGCTATTGCACCTGGCCTCCTTTTTCTTTTTAGAGACAGGGTGTTACTGTCACCCAGACTTCAGTGCAGTGGTGCGATCAGAGCTCACTGTAGCCTTGAACTCCTAAGCTCAGGTGATCCTCCTGCCTCAGCCTCCCCAGTAGCTGGGACTACAGGCATGCACCACCATGCCCAGCTAATTTTTTTTTTTAATTTCTATGCTTCATTTTCATTTTTCTCAACATAAAACGTAGCTAATTTAAAATTTTTTTTGGTGTGTGTAGAGAGAGGGGTCTCACTATGTTGTCCAGGCTGGTCTCAAACTCCTGGCCTCAAGCAATCCTCCCTTCTCTGCCTCCTAAAATATTGAGATTACAGGCATAAGCCTGGATGCTCTTAATAGCTGTAAATCAGTGTCTTCT